GAATATAACCGCTCAATTGCTTTTGGCACGTGTTTGTTTCCAGTTTATTTTTGGAAATTATGTTTTCAGTTCAAAACAAGGAGATGTATTCATTTCACTGTACAGGCTTCACTGATATACCACTTGTTCAATGTCTTTAGAAATGTGCCCCATTTTGTTTAAACCATCTCTGGGAATGCAGCACAATGGTGTTGGCATCTGGTCACCCTAGCTTAAAACTTTCCTCCAGAAACTGATGCCTTTCCTGGAATGATCCTCATGACCATCCAGCCAAGTGCTGGGTGGTCCATGGATCAGCATCTCCTGTGTGGCAACTCCACAGCTACAGAAGGTGATTGGCATCAGAGCAGGGCTTAATGGGACACCTCCCATTAACTGTATACCCATTTCATCTGCCAGTTTGGTTACTCATATCCTTCACATTTCCCCAACAGCAGGCTGAAGCTCATCTTCTATTAGGCAGGACATTGGAACACAGAAATATGTTTTTTTGACTAACAAGTATAACAAAATTATAAAATACAAACTTAAAAATTATTTTCCAACAGCAGGAAAATGAAACAACACATACTGTATATTAAGCCTTTTTTTTCTTTTAACAAAGTGCAAGATTGCATTAAAAAATCTAGGTCAGAGATGGATAATTTGTGATTCACAGGCCAAATGTAGCTCATCAACATTCTCTTTGAAGTTCTGAGATTGTCCCAAATCATACAACCATAACTAAAAACATGCCAGTTTTTTTCTCTGAATAATTGACTTCTTGTTTAACTGAAATAAGAGTAATAAATAAAGAGACATGAGTGAATTTTTTAATCCCCTAACTACTATAAAAAGTACAAACAACAATAAAACAGTACAACCCAAATCTAACCATGTTACCAATCCCATTCTAGGTTGCAGAAGGAAGGAGGGAAGGAAGGAAGGAAGGAAGGAAGGAAGGAAGGAAGGAAGGAAGGAAGGAAGGAAGGAAGGAAGGAAGGAAGGAAGGAGGTGCAGAGCTTGGTTGTAAAATGGTTGCCTGCCTCATTCTATATAACTAAAAATGTCATCTTCTGATACCAAACAATTTATCTGGTGGACAAATCCACTCTTAGAAAAACCTTCCTAGAGTAGATACACCTCAGTCTGTAGCATGGTTCCTAAAATCAAAGAAAGAATATGCATAGGATGATTATTTTTCAGAGAAACTGGTCTCAAGGTCTTATGTGCTTTCTTGGATAAAACTTGGATAGATTCAATTGGGAGCCAATGGCACTGATTAAGCATTGGTGCAATATGACGGCCATGCTCACATGGCTTGTGAAATGATACAGCCCTTGTCCCTTCTATCCTCATGCAGATATCATCTGGATTCTTATGCTGCCTTCATAAAAAGCAAAAGTAGGCAAAAAGTGTTTTGGATGAATTCAGGTATTACAGAGTAGGAAAGGGATAACTTTAGACTGGCAGAACTAAATTAAATTTTATTTAAAATCCTGAACTCTGCCAACTAATCAGGAACACGTGCCAAACAAATATACCAGATCCTTAATTATTGTGATTTTCAGTACCAGAGCTGAAGTGAGAATACAATGCTCTGTCACAACCTTCTCCTGATTCTCCCACCCCTTTCCTACCTTTTGGTTCTTTGTAGGAAAGAGTGCAATTTCGTAAAAGAACTGAGAGTCAAAAGTCTTTGAGCTCTCTTCTGCCCATCCTTAATTTTAAATACTGGTGAAGTGGGTAGAGCAGCGCCTGTAATTTCTGTGTTGAATGAGAAAAGCACATCTTCCTTCCCCTGTCCTTACCACTTTCTATAGACGGAAGATCAAGAGCATCTTGTCATATTGAATTACAGTCTGGTTTGGAAGCATCACTGCTTCAGACCGGAAGGCAGTGCAGAGAGTGGTGAGGATGGCAGAAAAGATCATTGGCAGTTCCCTCCCTTCCATCCAGGCCATATAAGCGTTGCTTGAGCAGGGTCCGCAAGGTTGTCTGGGACACTACACATCCTCTTCATGACCTGTTTTCCTTGTTACCTTCTGGGTGGAGGCTTCGTAGTGTCTGAAGCAGAACATCCAGATTCAATCACAGTTTCGTCCCATACAGTATTAACCTTGTGAACTCTCAAGCTTCTTCCTCCCATTATGTATTCAAGATGGACAGTGATTAATATATATATGTTATTTATATACAAGGGTATGAGTTTATACATATATTGTATATAACATGTTTAAATGTGTGTTATGTATGTGTACACATTGAGAGCAAGCAACAGAATTTCATTTTTAATGTGTGCCAGTGTGACGATAAAGGTTATCTTATCTTATTTTGAATGAAGAAGGTAAAAGAATCAGAAATCAGGAATCTTTAAGGAGGTCAGTGAGTCAAAAAGCAACTTTACCCTAATAGAGGGATAGTTTCCTCTTCTTTCTGCTTCATTTTCCCTCATGACTGTTTTTTGAGCTTTTTCTTCTCAGAGTTTTAAAGAAATATTTGAGACTAAAATGTTGTATTCTCTTGGAAAACATTTTGTTTTTAAGCTATTTTGAACATGGCCTTTTTATAGCCTTCAAGCTACTCTTGGCCTTTTCTCCTGGAATTAGCCTTCGGGGCTGAATACTTTATCTCTGAGCAAACAGCAGATTTTGTCTTCTTTTGCAAGGTCTTCTCTTTTCTATTTTGAACCTTTTTCCTCAGCAAGCTTTTTGCATTTTTCTTTCTTGACATCTTTGAATAGGTCCCTTCAAATGTTCACCCACAAGAATCTCTCCCTCAGCTCTTTATTGACTATAGTAGCTGGGAAAAGGTAATATTTAGGGCAACTCTGTAGCTGGAAGTTGTAAGACATTATATTGAATTAGTTAGACTCGTGGAAGTTTAGGTTAAGCAAGAGTAAAACAATAACTAGAAATCCAATAGCTATAAAATGCAAAACCGATAACATGTTTGCCTGACAGTTAAAAATTAAACTGTATATAACACTTATTATAAGACTCGTTTCTGAATCTTTCTCAATTGTTAATAATCTCAGTTTGCTAATAACTTCAGATTATTAATACATCCATAGTTTTTTATTCATAACATCATCCTTTCTACAACTCTCCCAGTTCCATCCTAACTACTTCTCATTTTCTCCAAGAACACAAATTCCCTAAAAAGGAAATAAAAATGAAGGTTATTGTGTAAGTGAAGAACTGGGATTTTCTGGCATATGGAAACAAGAGGTTAGGAAGATTTTTTTTTATCAAGTTAATTTATTTTTAATCATCATAATAAAAGGAATGGTTCTTATGCCCCCATGGGGAGCCCAAAAGTCATATGTTATATCTAAAATTTGCTTTCCTTTGGCTTTCTAGACATGGATATATGGCTCCCTTCTTCATTTAAGTTCAAAGTTTCTGCAGGGACATTTAGGGGACAAATGACTATATTATCCAATGCCATAATTTACACATTTGCACCAGGCATTGTGATACAAGTATGCAACTGTTGTTTGAATGATGATATTATGCATACATTAAGCACTATTGTTCAGTCCTTTAGTCACTTTTGAGTCTTCATGATCCAATGGACACCATTTAGGCATGATTATCAGTAAGTGTTTCTTTGAATTCTTGTGAGCACATACTAGCCCTATTGTCTGCCTGATTTTTATTGCTTCCAATCTCTTCAAGTATCAGAATCTCCTCCTGTGATTCTTGCTTTAACATTAAATGTCCAATATTTTGCTATCAGTGCTTTGATACCAGTGAGCAGTTTGGTTTTATTTCATCTAGAACAGAATGATTTCTTCTTCTTGAGATCCAAAATATTATTAACCATTTTCTGCAGCAGTGCAGTTAAAAGGCATTCTTTTTTTTTTTTTAAATCAGCTTTCCTGATGATCTACCTTTCACAGTCATATGTTACAGCAGGAGAACTCAAAAGTCTTGTACCTTAGTATGTACGTTAGTTGTAAGCATGCTTCTCAGCACTTTAATATTTTGAGTACAGTTGGATATAGAACCATTCCTGTGAATTCCTGGGATTTTTTTTTTTTAAATGAGCCAAGGAAAAGAGAAGTACACTATCCACTGGAGAACAAGTATCTGTGAAAACATTCCAGCATAAAAAAAATAGGGTGTTTAGCAATTGTATTCATTTACACATATTTATTAGTAAACCCATTGCATCCTTCTAGATCTGCTCCAGGTGGTTTGATCATCCTCTACAACTGATTTTACAGTTTGGGCAAATACAGAAAAAGATAAGCAAAAAAACTCTCCAATATAAAGTCCTTTTGAACAATGTTGAATATAGCTCATTTAATTCTAAAAGTTACCGGAAAGCAACCTTTTCTTTTTCCAAGTCTGTTTGAAGTTCTGCCAGATGATACCTATCATTTGGATTTTTTTTTACTTGTTTTTAAACTTGGAACAAACTAAAAAGGTGCCAAGAGATAGAGTTTAATTGGAAAAAAATTGTTGAGGCATGAATTTGTATTATAATTAATAGTAATTTAGATGTCTTTCCTGTACAAGCAGAAGGTAATATACATAACTTTATCTTCTTGGCAATCTAAAGTCACCCAATATTTTTCTTGGCTCAGGATTGATATTAACCTGGATTTCTCTGGTCCTAGTCTAGTATTGTAAACACTATCCTCCACTATCTCTCTATCTCTCTCAATCATTTTAGAATCCCTCTATTATAGATAACATTGGGAATGTACTTTCCTAAAACTTTGTGCAGAGATCTGAAGAATCCTCAGGCTGTAGACATAGTATGGTCATGGCTGTAAATGATAAACATCATTTAATTGCATGTAATATATGATATAATACAATTTCATATAATATTAAATTATATCACATTTATTACTGTATATGGATGTGTTTGACTTGGAAAAAGTCCTTAAAGTCAGTATAACTAAACTAAACAAATATTTTATTTTCAAACTATAGAAATAATGATAGAAAAGCAATGAAAAAAACATTTGGAAGCCTAAAAAAACTTGTTCAATGTTTTATTTGCAGCACCACCCCACAAGCCAGATCTCCCTCAGACTGATTTTCTATCTTTGGACTCAACTTACAACCATTTGTCATGTACATACATATATCTGAGCCAGACTGTTTTGTTTCTCTATGTCATCGAATATATGTGGGTATGTGGGTACATGCAATTTCTTTTTCTTTTCTTTTGGTTATATTTATGTAGTGTATATTGGAGGAGGTGACCCTTTTAGAGCTGTATGCAATGAAATTTCATTTTAATGCATGCCGATTAGGTTACATTTAAAGTGACAATAAAGTTATTCTATTCTATTCTATTCTATTCTATTCTATTCTATTCTATTCTATTCTATTCTATTCTATTCTATTCTATTCACTGACCATTCAAAGTTACAATGGTCCTGAAAAAAAAATATTACTAGTCCTCGTGCTTATAACTGTTTCAGCATCCCCCTGATCATGTGATCAAAAATCTGGACGCTTGACAACTGGTATGTATTTATAATGGTGGTAGCATCCCAGGTTCACATAATCATCATTTGCAACTTTCCCAGCTGGCTTCCACCAAGCTAAGTCAATGGGGGATGATGGACTCCCTTAACTACTGCATGATTTACTTAACCACTGCAATGATTCCCTTAATGACTGCAGCAAAAATGATCACAAAATTGGTCATGAATCACTTACCTACCGATGTTCTGGCCTCATCTGTGGTCCTAAGTCAAGGACTAATTGTAATGTCCAACTGAAGGCTGTATTTGCCCCATGAAAGACATGCCAGGGCCCTACTCCAAGTAACAGTGCATGCAGCCAGGGCATTCACATATGATCAGTATGCTTATTGTTAATGTCACAATAAAACACATAATCTGGTAAAATGTTTTGAAATCACACTTAGGCTATCACAGGCCACATGTTTCTCTGATTGAAGATGGGATTTTGGTGCTTTTAGCATTTGTCATGTCTGAAACACATACCCACCCTCTTTTTAAGGGCCTCTAATGCCTTGGGGTCCTAAAGTAACATTGTACGTTGTCAGACTTTCTACTCTCATAGCCAGTCATGTGATTTAACAAACATTTAATCCGTCTTTTGTCAGGCTGAAGCTAGGGATTAGTGACAAAGGTATATTCGGATGCAATTTTGAAATAAAAGATCCATACATGCATGTATAGAAACTTTCTCCTCGATTACTACTGTCTCATTCAAGTAATCAGAAGCAACAATATGTGGGGAAAGTGATATTTGATAATGATATGCTTTTATAAGCCTCCACTCTTGGGACCAGTTTAGAGGATACAAGATTCATTTCAGTTCACCTGTCGGTGTGCACTCCCCCCTCCCCACTGTCCCGTTTCCCCCCTCTTAGAGACGATAATCACTTTCATTTTGCTACACCATAGTCCTCACGTATCATTTCTCAAGCGCTAAGTAGTTCAAAGTTGCAAAAATGTAGCATGCCTATAGGAAAATGGTACTGAATTTCTAACTTGCAAACTGTCAGTCAGGCTCAAGACTTGTATCCGCCCCCTTGTCCTGTGGCTCTTGAACACATCATTCACCAATAGCATCGTGCTGTAAATATTTAGGCTGAATCAGTGCACTGTGAGCATCACCTTAAGTATAGAGCATCTTGGATTTATTGAGATAATTTTCAATCTCCATATTCAGTCCAGGGGGGGCATTATTATATGCATGTTTCAACAATTTTGAATCAAAGCAATTATCAGTGTACCCTCTCTATGGGGATAGTGGGGATTATGATCTATGAGGATAATGTCAAAATATTAAAAAGTGACATGGGTCAGACAAATTTCTTACTGGCACTAGATGACATATTTTGATGTTATGTTTTTAGTAGTTGCTGTTTAACAAAAGTGGTTCTTATTACTGCTAGCTCAACTATGCCCTATGTATTTGTGACCCTACCTATAGCCACTATGAGCAAATGCCATTGAGAAGAATGAGGCTTATATAAGATTGCATGGCAGATCTATAGGTCTACCTCCATTTACCTGGAAGTGAGTCCATATTATCTCAGTGAAACTTACATCTGGGTGCAGGTAGTTCTCAGCGTATGACCACAGCTGAGCCCAAAATTTGTGTTGCTAAGTTAGAAATTTGCTAAGTGAGTTTTGCCCCATTTTACGACTTTTCTTGCCACATTTGTTAAGTGAATCCCTGCAGTTGTTAAATTAGTAACATGGTTGTTAAATGAATCTGGCTTCCCCACTGATTTTGCTTGTCAGAAGGTCACAAAAGAGGATCACATGACCTCCGGGACACTGTAACCATCATAAATGTAAGCCAATTGTCAAGCATCTGAATGTAAATCACATGACCCTGGGGGGAATGCTGCAATGGTCATAAGTGTGATAAATGGTCATATGTCACTTTTTTCAGTTCTGTTGTAACTTTGAATGGTCACTAAGTGAAGTATCGTAAGTCGAGGACTACCTGAAATGTATAGGACTCTTAACTAAAGTTTACGAAATGACGCTATCTCATAAGGAAGGTGTTTGCATCACAAATGTGCATGGCAATGGATCAAGATAAACAAGGATCTCTTTTTTTTAACTTGTTAGTTAAAATTCTAAACTGGAATAGTGTGAGACACTGGATATGCAAGTTTAAGATTGCTGGCTTAAATATGCCCATGAGGCTTGCTGTCTGGTTAGCAGGATCAACAAAAGAAACAATAAAGCATTTTTTATTAGCCTTGAAGTCGAGCCATTAGGAATTTTTCTTTCCAGGGAAGGGCCCACCCTACATATATTTCATAAATTAACTTCCTCCTGCCCAATCTATTTATACAAAAGAAAGCAAGAAAGAAAATAACTGGGAATATGATGGATTCATCCTTCAACAATGCTATATAAGCTCCCATTATATTTCAATGCTGAGACATTTTTAAACATAATGGTAAACATTAAGCTTCTTTTAAAAAAAAAGATTGTTTTCTGAAAGTGGCGTGAAACTTTCCATTACAATACAGACTTAGGAATTAGTTTTTACTTGAGGACATGTACTTGGGTTTTGCTTCAACCCTTCAGATTCATTCATATCTAAATGTATGTAAAGGTACTGTTCTACATCTAAAGATACTGTAATTGGTTAAAATTAGGATTATTGTTTCTGATATGTGTACTTTGACAAATCCAGGAGTCTTTCGAACAGAGTTTACAATTTTTCCATCCATAAATCTCCTGCCTATCTGTATGCTTCATGAGTGTCAAATCAATCCATAGAAAACGTATAATCATCTACAATTATAGCTAAGAAACTGCTTCATCCAAAAGACTTTCTATGAACCAATAAGTTCAACTTGAATCCAAATGAACTCCAAGAGTATTGCAGAAATAGATCCCGAACATCCAGGAGAACTGTTACGTTGAACACAAGGCTTGGTATCGGTCCAGGCAATATTGTATCCCTGGTTGCTTCGAAAGTGAGGATTTGAAAGCTGATATTTCTGGACACGGCTATCGGTCATCATAGCCATCTGGAAAAATGAGGGCCTTAGTCCTAATACTCTTTTATTTAACAAGGGCCTCTTTTTCTCAGCAGAGTGTTTCTCTACTTGTTATGACTTGTCATTGGAGTTGGGTATTTCCTCAGTCTTTTTCTCTGCGTCTTTGGGCCATTCAGTCACACAGGTATCCTGAACCTAGAATGGAAGTTTTAAACAGTCCCTAACTCCTTGGCTCCATTCCACTATGTCTTGAAACTAACTGCTGTCCTGGAACATCTATATTTGAGTGATTGATTTGGAAATCAACAAGGAAAATAAGAGAAGCTGAAATCAGAACTTTTGCAAAGGATTAGAATTCCATTTCCAGTTTCGGAAAAAGAAATCAAGTGATCCTATGGTCCTGGGATGGTGTTCTAAGCACCATAAAATTAAAGCCTTATCTTTTTCTACATTAAGAAATTTTCATACATTATAGGGAACCAAATTCCTTTTCACAGTCTGAAATGGAAGAAACCAGAAACAGATCTAGCTGTTCAGTAAGAAAAAGATATATATTCCAGATGTGGCATCAGCTAGATATAGTTATGGATTTGCATATATTCAGTTTAATGAAAACTCTAGTACTATATAGCTCCAAAATTCAACCGATTATCATTAGACATTTAAATACAACTTATGTTTGTTGTAGTATGAATGAAGACCAAACAATATTACAACCAGTAACATGATTAATATTGATCTGATTTTGTTTTAATTTCATAAATAAAAATCAAACAAGGGAGAAATATCATATCCATAATCAAATAATCTTGGGTTATTTATCATAAATAGATTTGTCATTCTCATGTCCAGGTTTATCGACATCTTTATTCTTTTTCAATAAAAAAAATCAAGCCAGACAATTTAATTCTACCTGAGAAATAAAAATATGTAAAGGTCATGTAAGCATTGGAGCTGGCTATATATTGATTTGCTCATGGAATTATTTAACATTTATTTCAGTACAAACTAATCAAGGAGAAAAGCAACCTAGAACTAAGGAGAAATTTCCTGACAGTTAGAACAATTAACCAGTGGAACAACCTGCCTCCAGAAGCGGTGAATGCTCCAACACTGGAAGTTTTTAAGAAGAGACTGGACAGCCATTTGTAGGGTTCCTACCTGAGCAGGGGGTTGGACTAGATGACCTCCAAGGTCCCTTCCAACTTTATTATTATTATTATGGATCATTGCACAGTCAGCCAGATGTTCAGACTGGATTTGGCATTTTGTCTACCTATCGAGTCCTTCCCCAAGACCTGGGATAGGCAGATGTGGATGTTTGATGGTATTACAGGTATCGTCACAGGATGGAAGCAGTTCCTAGTAAGGCCGCCTTTTGCAATTGACTAATAGCGAATTTGTCAATGCCAATGGTGTTCAAGTGGTGCTCCAGTTGTTTTGGGATTGCACCCAAGGAGCCTATTACTATTGGTACTACCTTTGCTTGCTTTTGCCACAGTCTTTCTATTTCTATTTGTAGGTCTTTATATTTTGTTATCTTCTCCAGTTCTTTCTCATCTATTCTGCTGTCTCCAGGCATTGCCACGTCCACTATCCAGACTTTTTTGTCTTTCTTATCGACAATTGTTAAGTCTAGGGTGTTATGTTGCAGGTGCTTGTCTGTTTGAATT